TGGTGGTGCTCTATTAAGCAGGACAATACTCAGTAATCCCCCAAACTTGGCCTCAGAAGAGTGAAAGCAGTAACAAAACGGCCCACTGAGCTAACACATGCAGAATCAACAACAATTTCGGAAACAATAAAATATCATCTAATCAGGTTTTTGAAAGAAGGCTTTGTGTTTGTGCACACACGAGAATCTCAATGGTTTTAAACAGCCCGGTTTTACCCGCACTAGAAAACAAACCGTGGCAGTTTGATAGCCGATAAGCCCGGATTCAGGTAATGGGAGAACGTCGCTTTGCATAAGATGAAAGTTGTGCACTGGGGTGGTAAGAGGAGGGGACGTCGGCTCTGTAAGGGGGCACAGGTGTGAATGAAGAGGGGATGAAGGAGGGCTGGCTTTGGTTACAGTGCATATAAGAGGCATGAGGCTCGCTGTCTACTCTCCTGCCCCGCGTTAACCTTCACTGACCCTCCCGCCACCACTTACGTATGCGTGTGTGTGTATGTTTTCACTTATGGCTGCCCTCCCTGCTGTCAGATTCCTCCCTCTCTTGCGTCTAATAACTGTTCACACTCCGTGTTTGAACACAAACACAACCCAGTGGCACTCTCCTTACAGCTGTCAGTCTGCGCCTGCCTGCTAGCATGTGATCGCGCCCTCAGCCCGGCTCATATTCAGATGGCATGCGTGGCCTCGCTGTCAGTAATCAGTGCGAAGGCAGAGAATCGAGCCCAATCCATTTTCAGCCAAGAGCTGTTATGACTCCCTGCTAGAGAATGGCAGGATTTCCCTGTAAGCAAGGAAATAGTGCTATTTCCCCTCTCAGTAATTGAAGAGTGCTGACAAAGCATCCCACCTTACACATGCGCGTATTATTTTCCCTAATGCTAAACTCATTCCTGCATAGAATCCAGAAATAAACTCTGGATATTTACCTTCGCTCCAGCACAATGCGTGAGCCGTGCTCTGGTTCATTTCCCATTAAAGCTTTACAGTTGCTCCAGGTCATTCTTAGGAGAAATCATGGTACCATGTCAAGGGGTTCCTTCAATAAAGTTTCCACCTTAGTGTTCGAAGGAAAAATCAGAGTTGGCCTGAACGTGGCGGTCTGTGGAGCGGTGGTCTTCTTCTGCACGTTCAGTGCATGGAGAGACAAATACATCTCTGTATGTTCCTTCATGTACTTAACACATGGTGAGCATGTGTGTGTCCAGTTAACTTAATGGAACCCTGCGAGCACAATGCGCCATGGCTGAGTGGGGCTCAGCAAAGTGGAAGACCCTCTCCCCCCCCCTCGTCCCCTTGGCCTTCATTTTCTCCAGTTCTTTTTGACCACAGTCCAGTCTGCCAGCCTGCTAATGCAGTTAGCTTCCCTCTAATGATGGTGAAATCTCATTAATATGCTTCACAGCCGAGCCCAGTAACCAGTGGGGATGAAGGTAATCAAATCTCGGAGGACTAACCTAAGGCTGAACCTCAAGAACTGCTCAGTTGCTCTGGTCCGAGACAGCCCACTGTCTGGAGGCTTGATAATAGCCAGTGGGTTTGTGTGTGACTGTTTTTTGTGCGCCTGTGTGTGTGTGTGTGTGTGTTTGTGGTCTGGTTTCCTTTGAAGTGCTGATGTAAGCCAGGCTATCTTATGTCAGTGTTGCAGCTCTGGGCAGTTCATCATCTGAATAGATTTCATTTCAGTCCTGTGCATATTTGTCCATTTAAGTCTGGTCCTGCGGTGAATGCTCATGGAGGAAGCGGCTGCCATGGCTCAGCTTCACTCTAAGTGCACTTGAGGCTCATGATGTATGCAAAGTGAATTTGAAGAGTGGCATTACCGACCACTCACACTTGAACTTAATTAAATCACCAGTGCGTCGGCTCTGGGTTTGAGAACACCTCGGTACATTAAGCTATCGGGGCATAAGGGGGCAGTCCGCCTGCTCAATTGGACGCCGTGCTGTTCCGGAAACCGAGAGAGAGAGACACCTAAATCAATCGTATTAAAGGCAATTATTCTTTTAGAATGAGTTGTTTTTTGGGGGGAAGGATTATTTCACGCTTTAAATCTGGCCAAAAATGTTTAGACATCTTTAAAGGATGATTGAATGCCGCAAGTGTAATGCGATATTCAAAGAATTTTGGTGGTGCTTTGTCAGCTAAACAGAGGTGTTTATACTTCTCAGATCTCAGGTGCAATCAGGGAGGATGGGAGGCCGAGATGAGGCCTCATCTCGGTTGACTTTTGCCATTTAAACGCAGCGGAGTGTCAAGATTTGTGTTGGCTGGTTACACCTGACAGTCTGAGCTGTTTATTCCCGGCTGCTTGGACAGGTCTGACAACATACCAGGCTGCACACTTTAATTCATCCCTGTGTGATAAATGGGTTGTGTTTCGCCTCCCTCCCACACCGCACTGGCTTCCTTATCAGCATGCCCTTCCAAAAATGCCTCCCATTTGAGGATTCCCAGTGTTGCCCGCACCTGAACCTGCAGGCCTGAATGTTATTCTGCTTTCACTACTGCGCAGTAAGGCGGAAAAGGAACAATGTTCTAACTCCACTTGAAGGATCGGTTACTGCGGTGACTCTGCCGGCTCTTTAGGGGCTCTGGTCTGGAAACCTTTCCAGGCCCATTTCCAGTGCAGAAATATTGGAAGAATATGGAGGGAAACTCTCCAAATGACTATGAGTCAGTCTTTCCAGTGTTTGTGCATTTGATTTTTGATTTTTGTTTCTTTTTTTTTCTTTTTTTTTTTGGTTGATACCGGTGAGTTACACAATAGGCAGGCTTGTCTGATGGTTGGTGTTGATCAGAGGTTGGATGCAGGCTGGAGTTGAATAATGCCCGGGCGAGGGCTGCTAAGTAGCTCTGTCCTCTCTGCCGAGCCCCTCAGCCTGTGTGTCTTTCTGTCCACAGGCCTGCCATTGTTTTGCTTCATGCCTCAGCTTGACAAGGCTCCAGAAGCCAGCCATTGTATTTAATTACAGGTCGCCAGCCCCCTCACAGACTTTTGTCCTTGTGTCCTAGATTTCCATGGGTGCTCTCATTAGGAGTGTACATTCTGTCTGTGTGTTCGCGCGTGTGTGTCTGTGTGTGTTCATCTGCGTGTTTGTGTTCAACTGATGGTGCATTTTTAATAGGCGTGTGAAAGCCTATAGCTTGTTTAGGTATTGGCACAGAGGCAGTTTGTGTGGGAAACATCTGCCTTTCTTTTTTTTGTTTATTTATTTATATATGTGTTTTTTGATGCAGCAGATTCATGGATAAAAAAAAAGGTCTGTGGTCATCCTAATAAGGCAGCCGGCACGGATATCGGTCCACATCAAGAGGGAGGCGGGAGAGCAGCGAACTGAATGTTTTTTTAATGAGAAAATATGTCATGTTATGTAAGGATTGCTCTGTTTCAGCTTAATTTGCTTTACATCTGTAGTGACTGCATTGCCCTGTGGCATCTGAAACAATAGCTCATAATGACACCAGTACAATAGGAGAGAGCAGCTCTCCCCTTACCCACAATCTGCCCCTTTTCACCTCCCTTTCATGAAGCTGCATTTAGTTTCCATCTCTAATAACATGCCCCACAACTCTGTAAATCCACATTTTAAAAAAATGTCCATTTATAAGGCTTGAGGGACAATTCAGAAAGGTTTATATACTTTCTTAATCTAACTTTTTGTCTGATTTTATTCATTTTTTTTAATTTCCCACCACTCCTCTGGGTTTCATAGGGGACGTGTCTCGGCCCAGTTGTGTGTCACCGTTTTCTGCTGCAATATGAGCTTTGTTGCTGTTTAGCTTAACTGTCCCGGATACTTGAAACTCAGTGTGACGAGACGAGACATGATGTTTAGCGACTAGACTTTTTCCAGGAATCCTTGGTTATATCATATAGGTTTCTCAATATAATCTTCATCTGCTGCAAGTAAATAGAGACGGACAAGCAGAGACCTGTCTGCAGTCACTATAAAATGGTAATATATTAGGTCCAGAACTTAAAGCTACACATCGATTTATCAGACACGTCTAATTTTATTTCAGAAATGGGGAAAAAAGCCTTCGGTGTTTGCAGTCAACAACCTAACTTTCAAAAACTTTTGAGATCAACCTTGTTTTTCTTCATCTGTCATTGATCCATTCGTCCTCTGACACTTGGCTCTTCAAGTTGTTCTCTAGTATGATTCTCATATATTATTTTTATGTCTTCAGTATAGATGTTTGGATTGTGAAAACAATCCAAAAAATAAATGGAACTCTCCCCACTAATTAGAGATATTTCTCGAACCACCCTGTTTGTAATGGCGACCTGTTTGCCATTTAAGAGGTTCAGTATTTCGCAGCAGGCTTCATCGTCAACATTTGCCAAAAGGGATTAAGAACTTATCCAGTCATGGGGTGAAGGTCTGTGCTCTGTTTTTATAATTGATTTAAGAGCTGTGTTTTGTAACATACATGATACTGAGGTCAAAGTCTCAGACATAATATGTTTGCGGCCCCATAATCCTTCCTCATATGTTGCTGGCCCGGTCAGTATAACCTTCTACGTTCTTACTGACGTGATGTCGGGGAAAAACACAAAGCACATGTTACATGAGAACTTTTAAGAAATGTTGTAGTTCTTAAAAGATCGTCCGATGATCAAAAATAAATAAATACATTTTTAAATCCTAAAGCAAAACTCTTGTTTTCACCAGAAACTAATCTTTTTTTTTTTTGTACCTACACAGCCCCATTTTAATATTTGCATTTTTACCCAAACTCAACATTAGTTCAGCTACAAATGATATTATTGAGTGGCCGGAGCCACTTTCCTGGGTATATATTATTATATATATATTGGGTATATATTTGAACGCCTTTCCGTTTGCTGTGGGCAGCTTGGGATCAGAGTGCTCGTGTGTGCTCGTGAGATTGTGAATTTTTATTCCACTGCCATTGGTTTAATGCTGAGCGTCTGTCAGTGCTCTGTCCGATTGTGGTCACTAACACTCTTTGTTGCTGTTTCCTCTCTACAGCAATAGAGACCCAGAGTACCAGCTCAGAGGAGATAGTGCCAAGCCCGCCCTCGCCTCCCCCCCCACCCCGCGTCTACAAGCCCTGCTTTGTGTGCCAGGACAAGTCCTCAGGGTACCACTATGGTGTCAGCGCCTGTGAAGGCTGCAAGGTGAGACTCCCGGCCTTCCTCTGAATCTGCCAAGCAAGCAAGATTTTCATCAATCTTATAACCTTTGTGGGATTTGCTCAAGAGAGGGGAAACACACGCATCTTTAAAGCCTAAGCCCCCAGATGATGAAAATATAAACCAGGTCACAGCGTGCATTTCACATCCTTGTGATTTTTTTTCCAGCGTTTAATGCTGGAATTTGATCCGGCGCGACCAGCATTATCACATGCTCTGTTGTGTAACGGCCAGCATGTCTTAGACAGCTCGCTGTGGCCTCTTTCCACACGCCGACGTTGTAAAACAAGATGTCTCGCATGATGGACGTGCCTCTTATCGAGCGCAGTATGTGAAATTTTCCTGCGTTTTTTTATGTTGTTGCTCCCCGTATCAGCTTTGCTGACGCGTGCACATCGGCTGTCTATTATCAATACAGCGTTGTCACACAGGTGCTGAGGAGGCTTCGTGGCTCTCATCTGCTCTGTTATCAGTTGATAGTCTGTGTGTGTGTGTGTGTGTGTGTGTGTTTGTGTGTGTGTGTGTGCGCGCGCATGCGTGTTCTCCTGTTAGTGTGAACACACAGAGCGCTTTATCTCACTGCTTCTAAGGCGAGGAGCCAGAGTTGTGTAAGCTCAGAGGAGGATACAGATGGGGAGGACAGGGTCTATTCTGTCAAATCAAACGTTACCATCAGGTCCTAAGTTCATGCCTCCACAAGGTCAGTTTTCCACAAACAATCTGTGGTGAAAACAACTTGAATCATTAGAAAAAGGAAGGTATTGCAAAGCAGTCGGGAATAAGAAATGGTAAGGAAGGTAGGGGGGGGATGTAGGCACGCATGCAAAAAGACTGACAGAATGAGAGAGACTGATATGAGAGCAGAACTGGCTCTGGGAGGCAGAAGAGGAGAGAAGCGGGGATGTTTGGAGTGGCAGATCAGGAGGATGGGGTGCTGGGCCTGAACTCATTGACACTGAAAGAAAGACGGTCAGCGTTTCAGAGCGTGGGGGTGGGGGTGGGGGAGGAAAAAAAGTTAGGAAGGAATGCCTAGCGAGGAGAGCAGAGGGAAAGCATGACGTTTGACACACACACACACACACACACACACACACGTACACACATGTTGCCCTTTAACAAGAGCCCTCTGAGGGATTCATGAAACATAACCTACTTCCCAAATGGAACATATAAAAAGTTAACAAAGTAACTAAAAGCTGACCCCAGAGCTGCTTTACACAGACAGCTCTGCTGGCCCACCAAACTAAACAGCAACTGATACACTCCACTGATGGTGAAAACAAGGGTTAGCTGCGCTACCCAGCGCAAACACGGAGATGAGAAAAGGGCGAGGTGGATGTGTGTGTGCGCGTGTGTGTGTTTGTGCTTACATTACACGTTTATGACTGTGGGAGAAACTGAATATTGTCGTGTGACTTTTTTTTTGCCTTGTCAAGATTATAATTTAATTGCGCCAGTTATGCAATGAAATTTCCTAAACGGTTGGTATTTATAAAAACTGGCTTTTAGTCCAGTGTTTCAGAACAATGATGCAAAAGTTTTGGTCGTGGGTCATGGTAAAGCTTGCGGGTCCAGAAAAGGGTGCGCGGTCTGTTTTTAACTGATCAGATCAGGATTTTAATGTGGTTATGTGCTGTAATTTAAGGTTAAGGCCAATGATGGAATTAACAGCTGCCTAGCTACGTTTCAAATGCTTTTCACCATGATTATGGTTGGGTCAGGTTCACGCGTACCCATTTCCCTCATTTGTTAGTGCTTATTAGACACTTTTTTGTTTGTCAAGGTTAGGAGCAACTGTAGGTTTTACCTTCTTTTACTTAGCATGGCATCCATCTGTTTTTCTGAGGCACTTATAGGGCGCACAGAAATAGTGCTATAAGCATTAAGGCTAAGTAATTGCTCTTAATGAGATTGCTTGTTAAAAATCAGATGTCTGTAGCAGGTTGTTGATCAGTTTGAGCCTCGCTAACTTGCTAATAGAAGGCTAAATAAAAATGTGAAAAAGGTCAACGGAATGAGAGCGGACTCAGAATGGCCTACGTAAACTTACAGGACCGGCATGGCGTCAGTGTTAGACATACAGCCCATATTTAAATTCATCCAGCGCTAATAGCGTGTCCCCCCACCTGCCTGCCCACTCAAATTCTGTGTGTGAATTCAGAGTGCGTTCCCTGCATCTCTGACTTCAGAGGAGATACTCAATAATTCAAGACTACAGGCATGTGAATGTATATGCTATCTCATCTGGGACTGGGGTAAGCTGAGGGTTAGCAGCGTGGGCTTTACTGCGGCATGCCAAACTACAAAGGCTTTTCCTGGGGGCTGCAGCAAACTGAGGAAACGGGTTCATGTTGATCTCCTCTACTTGGAGACAGCTTATTCATTTGTTGTGAAAAGTTCCAAGTGCCGGCGCAAACTTACCAGCGATGCGCTTATTTTCGCCTGCAGATGTTCATTCTTAGCCATTAAATATGCATGCCCACCCCCTCATGTGTATGTTATTATTCCTGCAGGCATGACAGAGTGGAGGAGATGACATGTCCTCTTGATGTACTGCAGTGTGCGAACTGTGAATTTCTAGAGAACCCCAAACACCAGTTTTAGTGTCAAATGTCCAGTTTGCTATATTTCTCAAACGCTCCCACCGAACACGTCTTTACTAAGCTGTGCTGTGTGGCTGTGAGGCAGCGTTACAGGCACAGAAACGATAACAAATGCATGCTCGCTGTTGGAGGCCAGGAGTGCACTCTTGATCTGGAAACAGCGTGAAAGTCATGTAACACAGGACTCCCGCGCTTCCGTGAGAACTCGACAACCCGACCCAAAGCCCCACTTCCCTCTCGCTAACACGTTTCCTCACACGCTTATGCAAAGTGGAGCGCGCTCACAAACACGCAGCGCTCGCAGTGCTCAGGTGGACCAGAGGTCCCTCCTTCCTCACCTCGCAGCTCCCGTCCCCTCTGAGCTCCGCAGGGTAGCTGACAGACCCACCCAGGGCTCTTGTCGCCGGTTGGATTAAGAGCTGATACAAAAAGAGGCTTAAGGGCCGTAGGAAGCAATGACTCCCAAAAGAAGAGGGGGGGCGGGGGGGAGCAGGGAAGGGGGAATCGACTATTCCACGAGCCTGCAGCGACTCCCAATCAGGAGATGCTGCGAGGGGGCACCTGCGCCTCATGGTGTCAGGAGGGAGGGGATGAATCCCCTCGTGACACGCAGGTCAGGGTCAGGGCACCGTCGGATCATAGAGGAGATGATACACACACACACACAAAGACCCCAGACTAATCCCTCAGCATCAGCAGCCAGAAATAACATTAAAACTACAAGCTTTGCTGTCTTCGGTTTGTTAGGTCATGGTCATCTTTAGTACTGCCGGGGACTGTTTGCGTGTCTGCCAGAGGTGGTTAACCAATTCTATGCTACAAGTAAATCCAAATTGACCCTCTTTTTCTCATTTAATTTTTTTTTTTTCTTTGTGGGAGCGCCTGGAAACCCAGACATGAGGCGTGGTCAGGATAAGAATCAGACGAGTTCAAAACCCTTCCGCTTTAAGCGGATAGAAACAAAGAGCGTGGAGGGCAGCCGGCACCTTTTGGCGGCAGCGCCGCGCTCAGAGGAATAGCATGACAAACCGTGCTCACTTCCTCTTTACAGTTCATCAGAAGTCTGATTCAGTTCCACTCTGCGGTGACAGACAGGAGATGTGAGAGGAGGCTGGTGATCTGGGAAGGACAAATTGTGGGCTTACGTCCACCAGCCATCTGTCGGCTAGCAAACCTAATCCCTCCGCATTGGATGGGGCTCCCTGGCAGCTCGCGCCCTCCCCGATTGGTTCCAAACACGCTCCCTGCCCACCAAAACATGACCCAATACATTAGATCAATCCTGACACTGACATTTATTACATTTGTCTTCAGCCCTGCTTCTTTCTCCACTGTTCCCCGCTCATTGAAACAACAGAATGGACTCAGACCTTTCTAAGATGATGTTGTTGGTGATGTTGTAATGCAGGGCTTTTCACATGACCTGTTATTGGCTGCCTTTGATACCCACATGACCTTGATCTACTGTCTCTTGTTTGAACAAGCTTAGGCCACATTTATCAGATGCCTGGTAGAGCCCCCCCCCCTTTTTTTAACCCAGTTTTTTTTCTTTTATAATATATTTTCTATCTTCGAATTAAGTTTGCTTTACAACTGGGCAACCTTTAGCAAATGAAGAAGGACACCAAATCCTTCTTAAAAGCCAAACTGTAGCTACATGTTATGCTAAAATAAAAGAGCAGCTCCACCGGCCCGTGTGGAAACTCCTCTTATTTCCTGCATTGAATTGGATCAAGGTTGGCTTGGTTGAGATACCATTTGCTGCTTCTGAGCTAAATGGAACACCGCCATATGTCACAGAGTAAAGCCTTTTAGAGATTTACGTGCTCGATGGGTCAATGCCTCTTAATTCAATCTGAATGATGTGCAAACATTCCACATTTTGCTCCGCATGATGTCAATTGGCTGAATGTTGTAAGTTGATTGCTTTTTTGTCAGGAAATGGATGGAGAGTGTTACCCGTAAAATAGAGGGAGGGCGGTGATGGGGTAGTTTGAGCAAAGGGAGCGACTTTGGCCCAAACACAAAAACTTCACCTCTGTGTTTGCAGAGGGTCATCTTCACTGACCGCCCTTTCCACAGACACCACGCTCAATCCCCGTATCTCTGTGTCTCTCTGCCACACAGGGCTTCTTTCGGAGAAGCATCCAGAAGAACATGGTGTACACTTGTCACCGGGAGAAGAACTGCATCATCAACAAAGTCACTCGCAATCGCTGCCAGTACTGTCGGTTACAGAAGTGCCTGGAAGTCGGGATGTCTAAAGAATGTAAGCATACGATTCCTGTTTTCCCAGAATGCTTTTCCAGCACAGGGGATCCTGAGCCAAGTGCAAAATGTCATTGTGGTTCTTTAATCCGGAAAGGGCTTGGCCTGTTACTGCTGCGGGAGGCCTTGAGTCTCGGCGTTTGCTCCACTAGCAGCAGTTTGAAGCGTTCCGTTTCGGTACTCACTCATATCAGCTTTTGCTTTGAATCAGGTGCAACTTTATCCTTAATTTCTCATTAATCCTTGCCAACCCTCCAATTTCGGTGCCGTTATTTTGCTCCTGTTGAAAGTTATGCGTTATCCCGTAAAGGAAAGTCATATTCTGCTTTTTAACATTCTTTTTTTTCCCTATTTTGTAATATTATCATCGAGATCTTTCAGTATGCTTTTTGGGGGCTTTTGTTTGCGCTCGTTTAGTTTTTTTTTAGACTCTTGCTTTAAAGTGAGGAAAAAAGCAGCCGGGATGGAGACTGGGGAGAACAGTCGGGGTGTCGCCAGGCTTGGCAGGATTCTGTGATGAATATGTTCTCACCTGCCGAGAGTGAAAGAGCAGGCGTCTGCTCTCATCATTGCACCCTGGGGGTTGTGTGAACACACACACACACACACACACACACACACACACACACGCACGCACGCACGCACGCACGCGCACACGCAAGCACTCAGACTTGATAAAGTAATTGGTAGAGGTGTGACCACAGAGAGCTAACAGGCCAGCAGGGGTTTCACCTCAACTTTTATCACACGACCCAACACTTACTCACAGCCACACGCACCGCCGTTTTACACATTATCAGAGTCCGCGTATATTGGACACATTTGTTCTAAAAGGCCCAGGTGAATGGAAGATTCCGCACGCAGACGGAGAGCGGAGGAGCTCTCTTCCCGTCACATAACAGCCTCCATCTCTGTGCTCCTCGGTGCCTTTTACCCCATCTTTTCTGCTACGGCAGTGCAGGGAGCGCTCCCCGTGCCGCAGCACTGTGGCTTACAGTAAAAGAAGTTATCCTCTGAGCTCCTTACCTTTGAATGGGGCCATTAATCACGTTTAGAAGGATCACAGCAGCCGGTTTCTTTTACACACAGGTTGAATTGAGTGTAAAAAGAAACCGGCTGCTGTGTTGAGCTGCTGCATCGGGTGGAATTAGAGAGCCATCTAGTGGCCAGTAAGCAGTACTGCACTGCACAGTAGCCAGGTGGTTTTCTGAATGAACTGCTTCCATGACATTTTGTTGTGGATTCATAGGTTTCTGGACCTGCTTTTGAATTAGTAGCAAGGCTTCATTTTTCAGGTCGTGGGCAAACTGCTCATCTCGTATTCTCCACAGTGACTTTGGCCGGTGAAACTGGTCTGAGCGGGGGCTTTTGGGGGAGGCAGGCCATCTGGGGCCAGCGGGGACTCTCTTTGCCTCCGACGCTGACACGGGGATGGCACACGCTCATCAGAAAAGTGTGTTTGCGCATAATAACTTGCCCGGATCCAAATTATGCATGTACAAGGTGACAACATGGAGCGGTATGAATAAAAAGCCCTTCCACAGAAAGGCGCTCAGACAGCAGCGCTCAGCTCACCTTCCGCTCTCTGTCACGCACACAGACTTACAGAAAGTGGCCCCCCCGCTGGGGCTCGGGACGTCTGGGTGACCTTGTGTTTGCTGGCAGACAGCTCCAGACGGCAGTGCCAGGCCTTCTGCCAGGTGGCAATGCCAAGCATGGCAGCTTCAGAGGGGGGGGGGGGGGGGGGTGTTGGGAGCAGGCCGAGGGTTACAAAAGACCCGCCTATAACGCTGTTTACTATTCACCTGACAGTGGCTAGCACCAGCCAAAATCAAGAGGAAATGTGGTCAGATTTTTTAAAAATTTGAATAAGAAAGTATGTCATTGATTCATTTAGGCATGTTTTTCTCTTTATACTTTACCCATATAAGGTGTTTACATTTTTACAAATATGATATACAGATAATAATTGCATGTATAGTAAGTCCTCTTCGTGAATGTTTTTGAATCGATAACATTCACAGTTGCAAATCCACTTTTAGTCTGACATCAGACCTTCCTCTGTACTCCTCCTGTTTTTTTATATAACTTATAGGTATCACCTATATTTTGCCTCAAAGAAGATGCTATTCAGCAATAGGGAAAAGTAATAACAGTAAAATAAGGCGGAGCGCGGAATGATAAAGAACAGGGCAAACTGAGGCTAGCGTCAGCCGGGGAGGCGGCGTGTAGCAAAAGATGAAGGCTGCGTGCAGAAAGAGTATTGAACTCAGCGTGAGCCAGAATGGAAAATCTAGAGTTGTGAGAGGAGGGGAAGGGGGGGCCTGAAGAAAGGAGAGGTGCTGAGGCAGGGGGTTCATCACTGTCGACGGTGGCGCTGCGCTGCGAGCAGCAGGAGCAGGGGGGGGGGGACATTGACATTTTTATCTTTCCATTGAATTTAATCTGTGTGATGGACGAGCTGCCAGCGCTTTAATTTTCCTCACACGAATTATCCCTGTCTGCCCACCTCTCTCCGTCTCACACACACACACACACACACACACACACTCACACTCCCACAAATGCACACACGCAGCACAGCGCTCAAACAGAGTCTGAAAAAGAGCGATTGAGGGATATACGTCTGTGTTCCATCGCAATATTATGCTGCCGTTACACACTGTTCTTATCAATCATTTTTATGCAATGAGCAAGAAGCTACAAACGATCCGGAATGCAAGTTCCCTCATTTGCATCCATAATGCATTTTGAAAAATGTATTTATTGAAGCTGACATTCACACACACACGCGCAAACAAAAAGCATCAAATGCACATTTGCGTCCGTGCACACGATAAGAAATCAAGGCAGTATTTCTTTCATTTG